ATTATTTATTTATTAACCTACTTTCATAAGAAGGAATTTTTCAATTTGTCTGTGTCTTTCTGTAGCTATGTTACGCGATAATTCTTTCGCCAATTCTGAATCAATATTATTGGAAGATTGTTAGTAATGGGATATAAAAGTACCATTGCTGTATCTACCCAATCAGGGTTGCGTCCCTGCTGTTATCCTGGAAACCATCGTGATTTATTCTTGTTGAATTCGTTGTGATGAGTATTGAAATTTTGCCCCGTCAGCGTACACCAATAACGTAGAACATTGAAAATTCATACTAGTTTTTCCCAAAGTAAAATTGTATTTATTATTGTTTCGATTAAAATAGTAATTTATAATATAATAAATTGCAAAATTTGTAGATGGATGGATATTTGTTAATCTTTTATGTACAAGCTACTAAACTGTAAGATACTTTATATTCTGATTCATGCGGACAGAGCTGCGGGTTAAAGCTAGTATATAAATAAAGATAATGTACCGCTAATAAGGACAACATTACACTCATCGTAGGTAAATATATGTTTAACATTTATGAAACCCAATGGTTATACGAGGTCTGTCCGGAAAGTTCGTATAAAAGTGTTCTGGAATGCGAGAAAGAGGAGTGGGGAGGCCAGGTAAGCGCAGGACCCCTTCCTTATGTCCCTAACAATGCTTCAGTTCTGGTCTGACCGCCGTGCGGTGCGAACTGGCTTGTCACGCCATCTGTGAAGTTACCTCTTAACGAAACCCCGTCGGCATGGAGCCCGCTTCCGTTGAAGAGCAGCGCGTCGTAATCAAGTTTCTCTCGAAACTCGGCAAGAATGGCCGTGAAATTTTTGCCGATCTCAGAACAGTTTATGGGGATGATGCTGTGAAGGAACCAACCGTCCACAAGTGGCTAAAAAGATTCAGAGAGGGCCGAGAAAGGTTCAAGATGACCCACGTTCAGGACGTCCTTCCACTTCACATTCCGACGAAAACGTGGAAAGAATTCGAACTTGTGTTAATGGGGACCGTCGTTTAACGGTCAGACAGGTGGCTGAAGATCTTAATTTGGGCAAAACCGTGGTCCACGAAATTCTAAGAAACGAACTTCAAATGAAAAAAATTTGCGCCAAGATCGTTCCGTGAGTTTTTGAGTAAAAATTATACGGTGACCGAATATAAAAACCAAATTGGTACTTCGGGGGCGGCATTTGGGGGACATAAATGAGATAAAAAAAGCTACGACGGGGCAGCTGAGAAACCTACAACCAGAGGACTTTCAAGGAGCCTTCTCACAGTGGAAACGGCGTTGGCACAAGTGCATTATGTCACAGGGGGAGTACTTTGAAGGGGATAAAATTGATTTACCTGAATAATTGTAAAATAAAATTTTTAAAAAACTTTTATACGTACTTTCCGGACAAACCTCGTACAATAAAATTCTAGTTTTCCGGCTACCCATCAGTAGAAATGTTATTTCTGGCGTCGCAGTGAAGCTTCCGAGAAACAGGTTCGAGTGATTCCTCGTAATCACCGAGTTTGTTCGTGGAATTATACGAATATAAATGACACAAGTGTGCGGTTTAGTTGTTGTTATATTGTACGAAATTGGATTGAATCTACGCTGAGTTGTTTATCAGTTGAAGTATCAACTTGTAGAAGGAAAGATTGCGGAGTGGGAAAGGGTTACACCAAAAAATAAATGAGCCGAATAAAAGTATATATATATAAAGTTAAAGAAGCAGAGTCACAACGGGAAGATGAGATCAAAAGAATAGTCGGCCCTAACTGGGTCCAAATGGCAAAAGACAGTCAAATGAGCATCTTTGGTGGTTATTGCATATAGTATATTCTCTATATGCAATAACCACCAAAGATATATAAACTAATTAACTAACAATTAAAATAACTTAAAATTAGCATACCTATCAGAAATAATATTGTAATTTTGTAAGAAATTAAAGGCTTTATTATTATTATGTATAGTTTAGGACAACACGCATTCGAGAAAGTTTTGGCTGAAAGAGTTAGAATTAGCGGACAAAAGATCTAAAATAACACGACGTGTTGTGAAAGTCACTAATTCAAAGGGTTTCTAAAAGTTGCTAAGTTATTTTGAACGAAATTATGTATATTACCTTAGTAATTTTTTTCTTATTTTGTATATAGAAAATGGATATTTATTAGAAACTTGAAAAATCAAGTTGTAAACAAAGTCGGGACAATCGTTAAATCAGATTCATTTATTTCACTCAACTTTTGTTTCCGCTAGAATTTGATGTATTGTCACCCATGTCAAGCGCAAAAAACAAAGGGAAAATTAAAGTATCGCAATAAAAAAAAAATACATTTAAAAAAACTGACCAATTTAGATCATAATAATGAATATTACTATCATATCAGCCTTTAACTATCCATTGTTGAACAAATGATGTCCCTTTGGCGGATTTTGCCAATAGTTGCCGGCGGCAGGCGGATTGGTAACCGCAGTTAAGATTTGAAGATGTTTTAAGAGAGACGCTGCTGTCCATTCCTTACCCTCCTATAGTCGCCTCTTATGACATCCACGAGAAAAGAAAGGGTGGCCTATTCTATGCCGGGACCACATGGCAAATAAAACACCATAATGATTCACTCACCGTCATATGAATACTGCATTAGATTAAACTCTCTACATATATTGTGCAAAGTAATTCATCCCATAATATCAAAATGTTATAAAATTATAATACTCGTAACTCAAAACAAAAAAAAAAAAAAACTTAAAACCAAACCAAGTAAACCGCAAATTTACCATTACGTTAAAGTTAGCGAAGTGTAAAATACTCGGAGCATTTAGTGAAACGGTATTCCCTAAGACAAAAAAAAAGAAGCTAATTATAAAAATAATTATCCAAGTCTTTTTGTTTGATAAACGAGACAAGTCTTTTAATAAGTTAATTTATTAACTAAACAGGAATATGGTTTTTTTTTTAATGGATGATAATGGAATGGTAACCCCACCCGCGCTATCGGTATACACAGGCGGGGCACCAGTGAAGGATGATAGGTGAGGATGAAGTAGGTCAGTTAGCCCATCGTGACGAATTCAACAAGAATTGTTCACGATGGTTTCCAAGGGGAACCACGCGGAGGTCAACCTAATAAGGCATATTGCTGGCAATGGGGCTGTCAAACTCCATTGCTAACAATCCCTTTCCCCCCAGGAATATGATATTAGGTGATTTATTCCATATTATAATATACAATTACTAAATTAAGTACAGTCTTTTGACTCAAAGTTTACTGTTAGAATGCTCTCAACCTCAAAAACAAAGGACCAACAGTAGAGCACTAGTTACACACAAAATTAATTTATTATTATAAACAAACAAATTAATTTTTTTTATATCACTGAGGTGGCAAACAAGCATACGGTCCACCTGATGGTAAGCGGTTACCGTAGCCTATGAACGCCTGCAATACCAGAGGTATTAACGTGCGCGTTGCCGACCCTGAAGAAACCTCTTTACCCCCTTTTGAAGAGTCCCATGCTGTAGTCTCTTGGGAAAACCTCGGAATGAGCTCCCTCATTCCATAACCTGAAAGAAGTGTAGAATGAAAAACGATGTAGTGACAAAAATCGAAAAGTGAATGTTGCGTTGATTTGGTCATTTGGAGAGGATGGATGAAAGAAGAATTACGAAAGAGATATATCGAGCAAGCATGAATGGAGATGCTGACGAATATGCGACGTGCTGTAGAAGGGCCAAATTAAAAGTACCCGTAACCGGCGAGCGTGTATGAAAAGATTGATGAATGTGGAAGAAGCGAAAGAGTTTGTTTGAATTGAAGCATTTGGCGTTCTATTCTTTCTGACTACCCTAATGCGAGACAGGCGTGACAGATATATATGTATGTATGTATGAATGATAACAAATACGTAGAAGAAACATTACGTGTTATTGTTGCTATGGTTTAAATCAGCCTTTCTCAAAGTGGGCGATAACGCTCCCTTGTGGGCGCTGCAGGCTTAAATGAGACCCAGAAAAACAATGGGGGCGTTGTGTAGAGGCTCGTTTAGAATTAATGTTTAATCTCCGCTAATATAGCTCACAATAATTGATTAATTGTAATTTGAAGTAATAGTGGTTTTTAAATAGGTAAAAAAAATGGGGGCTCTAAAAAATAATTTATTCTCAAAGTGGGCAGTAGACAAAATAAGTTTGGGAACCCCTGGTTTAAATCATAGTAACATTCTCGTCATTACTGGGGCCGGAAACAGGGTCGCCGTTGTTTCTTACTCTGTTATCGGTACGCGGTGTCTCGATTGCCAACTTTTTATAGACAAGCAACACTAATGACACCTCCATGTTAGGTATACAATACAATAACACGAGACATACAGGGGATACAATACAATACAATACGAGAAACGTATGGCCCAAGAGTAGTCCAAGTGCAATGAGTAAACGATGAACGTAACAAACATACAGTTTAGTTTACAAATTTAGCAATGCATTATCATTGCAGACGCTTCTAAAGTTAGTGTAAACAGTGATCTTATAAATTAAAAAAAAAAAAAAAACTAAAATGAAGTGTGCGCTTAATTTCTTTTTGTTTCTCGTCTCTGCATTTTTGTCTGTAAAGATTTTATTAATGGATGATAATGGAATGGGAACCTAACATCCCTCGCTGGTGCCCCGAAAGCGTATACAGTTAACGTAATCGAGATTTCTATTCCATTCCTTTCAGCTCTTAACTATCCACTGCTGAACATAGGCCTCCCCTATAAAGTGGGGTTTGCCAGTAATCGCCACGCTTGGCAGTCGTGTCGGCAACCGCAGTTAGGCCTTAGTAACATTTTAATAGGGCTGCTGCCCATCCCTCGATTAAAGTTCCTTAGTCGTCCTTTACGGCACCCAAAGGAATGGAAGACGTGATCCATTTTTAGAGTTTCATAATTTATTTAACCTAGTTATGAATGATTTTTTCTAGTTGACGCTTAGTTTCTAATATGTTGCCTTCGTTGTTCCCAGGCCCGGGCAGACGGAGCACGGGCACGGCGGCGGCGCGCTGGCGTACGGCGCTAAGCCGGCGGGGGCTGTGGTGGCGCCGCCGCAGCCCCGCGCTACGCCAGCTGCGCCTTACGCACCACAGTACTCCCCCCAGCTCCGGCTGCACCAGCCGGGGTATGGCTCGGCGGCGCTTACATACAGGTAATTACGTGTCTCATCTTCTTTCATTAGACCAAAGACAGTTTGTGGATTTTCGTTCTAAATTCGTGCAAAGTCGAATTCAAAGGTTGAGATCTGAATGTACTCTGTGATCGTACTGTGTAGAACATAAGAAATACAAAGAGTAACCAATTATATTTAATGTTTATTGCTTGATGTGAGTTTCCTTTGTCCGATATAGATAATGATTGTTCTATGAGCTCCGCTTCATTTCACGTGTAATTTTTGTCGTATACACTCAAAGCTATGCAGGGAATTTTCCTATTTTTACCATCCGAACCAAAGTTTTTGACAAAACGAACTACTGTTACGGAAGGTCGTCCGTTTTCGTCGCTTCGGGTTTGGCTTTCATCTAAATTTTGGCGTATCTGAATGCTTGGCGGAAAGTACTTTCTTGGCAGAGGTAGCTGAAACTTTTCGGCTTTTGGTTTGGAGTTCTCATAATTACTCGAATTTGCGAGCAGTTTTTGTGGAGAATACTGAATGTTAAATCTAAATAAATATTTCATTGACACAGCTCTTTTCAACGACTTCAAAAAGAAGGTTCCCAATTCGGTTGTATACTTTTTTATGTTTGTTATCTCATAACTCCGTCAGTTGCAATCCGATTTGGGAAATTATTTTTTTGTCTGAAAGGGTATACATATTGGTCACATAGAAATTTTATCAAAATCGGTTTAGTAGTTTAGTTTTAAAATCAAAATAACCAGTTTTTGCCTGAATTGAAGTTGATTTGTTTGGGAAACACAATTTAATCCTTCTTTGCATAATGGTGGAAATTTCCATCATAACATTGAATGCCCAAAAATTATTTAAGATAACATGTTCATTATGAGATGATCGTGTCCGGATACCTTTTTAATGTCCATTGCAGAAAAAAAAACATAGCTGTCAAATTTATTTTTTAACCATTTTTCCTTTAATTTTGAATATCAATTATATCACCTTGATTTATTTCGCCAATAAAAAAAAAACATGCAAAGAAGGGTTACTTATACTGTATGTTGTAGTGCAATAAAGACAGATGGAGATATATTCACGTAGAGATTTTTTTTTTTAATTTAGACTTTAATTGAACTGAATTTAATTGCTTTCTATTTGTATACTATTTGTTTTTGTTTGTTTTGTTTCTTTTTGTTTTGTGCGCTACTGTGTGGGTCGCATGCTTCTTCGATTAAATTCTTTCTTTCTTTTTTTTCTTTCATGTCATGTAATCTAGTTCAAGTACATATTTGTCTATGCTTGTTCAAGAACTTGTTCAGCTTACGTGTATATTTAGATGCCTATCGTTATCATTAATATAATAATATCGGAAAACATTTGACTAAAGATAAGAGGGAAATACTTTTATCTAATTACTTATCTCTTGCCATGATGAAATATACGTTCTAGAACCCCCTTAGTTTATCAATATATGTATGTAAACACTTGTAAACACTGCAGTGTTTGTTGCTACTTGGCTTTGTCATTTCCTTTTGATAAATATGTTACAATTTATTAAGAATGCATTGGTAATGACGTCAGTTTTAGATATCAGTGTTTAATTCAATTGTGTTTACATAATTGGTCACATTATTAGCCAAAACTTTGTAGTCTTTTTTTTTTAATGGGTGATAATGGAATGGTAACCCCACCCGCGCTATCGATATACACCAACGGGGCACCAGTGAAGGATGATAGGTGAGAATGAAGCAAGTCAGTTAGCCCATCGTGACGAATTCAACAAGAATTGTTCACGATGGTTTCCAGGGGGAACCACGTGGAGGTCGACCTGATAGGACATATTGCTAGCAATGTCGAACTCCATTGCTAACAATTTCTCTTCCCCCCAAAACTTTGTAGTGTTTATGTAAGCGATATACGACTAATAAGTTTATTTAATTGTTAATTTGTAAGTTTTAAATGTATGTTCTCTGTTGATAAAGTTATTATTGTCTCAGTTCAAAGTACAACGTCTCTTATCAGCATTAGCTTAGAAATATTTTCAATTAGTACAAATTTCGAATTAATTGGATTTGTTAGGTTTAGAATATGGAAATATTTGTGCTTGTTTTAAAGTTATAGTAGGATCGTATTGTTTAGTTATTTTTTCCTTTTTTTTATACAAGTTTCCACTTCAAAAGTTGTATGGCTGTAGTTCTCAACATTTTCTGGACCACTGCCTATTTTGGGGAAAAAAAAATTTAAAGCCCAAATTTCATATAGTCAATATGAATTATAGTAACATAAGGATAAATCAGCCTGTGTACTTTGTCATTTACGTTATAATCTCTTCTATATTAAGTGTGAGTGTATTGCTTAAATGTGTGTGTGTGTATTTAAAGCTTACACAATAAATTATGAATAAATATTAATAATAACATCCGAGTCCTCAGGAATGGCAACGCATGGTGGGTATCATGAGCGAAACAGTATATAACTGTTATGTCCATGGTACTGCTCATGCCTATAGGCAACGGTTACCACTTTCCATCAGGTGGGCCGTCAGCTTGTTTGCCATTCTAAGTTGTATAAAAAATTAATAATTTATGATTACTACGCTACAAGGAGAAAGAGTACTGCATCATTGCTACACAGGGTTAGGACAAGCACCAACAGCATTCTAAAAGTAATAGGCGAGAAATATGACTCGCCTATAATTGGGCATTTCATTCAGATGCTGATCTAGTCGGCTGGCTCACATCTGAGTGAACTGCTTAATTAAATTAATTTGCTTTTTTTTTACTAATATAGTTTGTAAGAAAATTGTTACTAACAAAATGGACCAAATTGTAGTTTAAATAATAAAGTACATTTTTATTAATAAAACAAATGTTATGTCCTTCAGTAGCTTCTGGATTTTATACCGCCTATATGGGTGCTCTACCGTCCACTGAGGTGAAAAGGACCGGTATCTGTATTCTATAACTTTTAAGTTAATTAGTAAATAATGGAGTGACGACCTGAAATGCGTTACAAGGAGTCAGTGGAGACAGGTGGCTCAGGACCGTTCTTTATGGCAGTCTATGGGGGAGGCTTATGCCCAACAGTGGACGGTTAATGACTGAAATGATGATGAAAGTATACTAAAGAATACGCTCTCGGTTATTGAATGATTAAATGATGTAGTGGCGTTAGTTGTAGGGGACAAATCTACTGCAATTTCCCGAAGTCATTTATTTTGTTAACGTAAATAAATGATAAATAATATCATCGCCATTAATTGTTGTAATTGTAATTTTCTTTTGCAACTTGACATTGCAAAGAAGGCTTATTAATAATATGGATTGGTAGTTAGGTCTTCTCTAATTGTATAAAAGTTAATTAGTGTACATTGACGCTTATCTGTGAGAGCTGTATACACCTTTAATTGACGTGTTCATATGGCCTTAAGCTTGGTAGTGAGGAGTAAGATTTTTTTTGTTCAAACTTAGATTTAAGCATTTTTTAATAGTAGTTTTTTCTCTTTTACTTACTAATAACATTGTATATTGTCTACTTAATTATTGTGAGTATATTGTTGGTGTGTCTTTTATAAATAAATAAATAAATAAAAGAGGTTAACCTGTCCATAGACATTGCCTAGACATAGACATGAATTACTTTTCTCAAGACTATGGTGCTATGCTTTCGTACTCTGTCATTTTGCTACCATATCGCATTTTTAAATTGTAATACGATTATGCGATATCTTAGAATCCGGGTAAAGCCGCGGTATGGACATAGTTAGCATGATAGTAAATTTGTATGTTCAACGTAGACAAGCACTGCACCCTGTCGTGTTATAACACGAAACAAGAGTAACCATTTGTCACGAAATAGCTCGACCTGAGCCGACCTGCGACCCTTAAAGGGCGTGCCACAAAATGTCGCAGCTAAACGTAATATTACAGCTATTGTTTTGAAAGGACGCGAGCAGTTACCGCTAGATGTAGCTCTTAAAGGTCGTACGAAGTTGGGGTTGTCATCTGAAATCAATAAACCAGATGCGGTTCAAATATCTCGGCCTTTTTAACATAAAATCTGAGAATTTAATCCATTTTTTTTTCTATAAGCACTGCAATAAAAGTAGTTTAAAATAATATATGGATTCAGAACCTTTAAAGTTGTAAAAATCCACTTGGAAGCTCTCCAAACGTAAACGAGGAGAAATCCAGGGAAACCCGGACAGTTGGCAAGATTGTCTGAAATGCAGTTGAGAGTAGGGCACTCTATCAGAGAGACAAATCATAAAATGTTTACGGTTGTCCCAAAACCAGTTATCGAATCAAGTTTTAGAATATGTCCTAACTTTTAATACAGAGAATAAAGATATTGTACTGCATACAACGCCAGGCAACTTGGATTATCGATGACCAACGATTTGTCGATCAACTCGAACCAATAACATTGTGTAGAAGCATCTCGATGTCTCGACTTATGGAGCCATAATTTTGCGTCTTTTATCGAATATATTATGGGGAACATTTAGCAAGATTATTCGTAATTATTTTAGCTTTTGAATTTTATCATCGTACAATTCGCCACAAACTAAAGTTTCATTCCAACCGTCTGAATGAATGGCGGTCCTCTAACCGTGCGTTTCTGTAAACATTTTCTTCTATGCAAAATCAAAGTATGGAACCAACTCCCAGCAGTAGTATTTCCGAATAGATAGAAGGTCAGTAACATACATGCAATTTTTCTGATAACTGGCGGTAATCAGTTACCATCAGGTGAGCCGAATGCTGATTTGTCCCCTATGTTAAAAAAAATCGTATGACAGAAATATTATGAGAAAGCTGGATTAGTAGACACTTTTCAAAGGAAGTTCTCAATTTGCATGACATTTTTACAACTATGTTCATCTACATTATTGCTTTACATTTATGTCGCCAATTGATCGACTTTGACTAGGAGAGATTACTGTAGTTCGCCTTTCGTGATGTGGTCATTAAAAAATAAAAAAAATCTTATCCGATATCCACTATTCTTTTTGCTTTTCATTTACGTCCGTGTTGGTT